GCATTTAAAATTTTAACGTTTATTTCCTTAACAATGGGATTTCGAAACAATGGGAATCAAAGTAATTCCCTTTTCTTTTTTTCTATACTTTTATCAAATTCCCCGTGTGCTTATTAATCATTCAACAAAGGAAGCAGATTTCAAAATCAAAGGAAACATATAAGAATTGTCAATGTAGGATGTATTTCCTACTTCCACCGATTGGGGAAGTATCTTTCTTTTATTTGAACAGTTTCCTTCAGCAAGATCATTGATGTTTTCTAGAATTCTGTACTAATAAGCACCAAGTTTAAGTACCGCAAATACGGTCCCCTTATATTTTTCCCTTACTTCCGAACCATTCCTGCCAATTATAAAATGAAGAAGCTCTACATAACTTGTCACTCATTTTAAGGGGTACATCTCAAAATTTTAACTACTTCGAACTCTAAATCTTAAACCAACGGTTTTGATTTTTGAAAAAAAAATGCTGACATGAGAGTGATTTGAAAAATCTCTATATATAAAAAAGCAAAGTGACCCCCTGCCACCTACATCACAGTTTCTCGGGAACTATTTAACGCACGCGCTTCATATTTGACAGGCCTATTCTTTACATTGAATAGAGATGTGTTACGAATCGATTTTAAGAAAAGCATAAAGCATTGCTAACCCTAAATCACTGGCCTAATTCAGCGACATCTCTGGTATTTTGATGTCTAAATTTTTATGTATCTTGAACTCCAATTTGTTTCTTCTTTGGCATTGTAGATTATACATCTTTTTCACTTCTTATCTTATTTTGTTTATGATACTATATATATATATATATATATATATATATATATATTCATACAACATCCTGGGATACACAGCGAAGAAGGGTGCATAAAAAAAGCTATTATTTTTATAAAGAATTGTTAGATTCACAAGTTAAGAAATAAATATTGCATTATGACGAATGAAAAAGGTACTTGTTTTTGGAAATTTATAGGTCATAAAATATTTTCTTTGAATAACATTTTTTGTTTTAATTAATTTCAATCTGTGTATAAAAATTAAGGATAAGTTATTGCATGTGACTGCTGACAAATTTTAAAAGCTTTATTTATTCACCTGTTTTCTATTTAAGATATATATTTCAGAGGATAAACTATATTTTTTTGGTTTATATAATTAAAAGTACTCTGATAGTTAGGATATTTATAGGGTATTCTTTCACACAAATTATATCTTGTAAATATGAAGTTAAGGAATTACCTTTTGGGGCAAACGAGATCGTTTATTTTGTGTTTTTAACCCTTTATCTACCGACGGTACTTATAAGTGCCACTAACTTTAAAATTACATGAAATAACCATTTTTACGAATATTTTGACGATATTTAGCAGAGATATTCTTTTAAATCCACTTTTCCTAGACACATGGCAGCACGGAGATTCTATATGATTATTTTAGCGGTGAAGGCTATTAGTTTTATAGCAGAATTGCGTTTTCAGCGGATTGCGAAAATTGTCATATTTGTTCCAAAAAAACAGTTAATGTCAAAAGGTAAGCG